TTGTCCATAACAATACATTATTGTATAAATTATTGGGAGCCATGTGGGCCTTAGTCACGGTGGCATATGGCGAAGTCATGAAGTCACTAGGTGGTCCGTAGTATATTATCGTACCTGTCGTCGAATACGGCATGGCAGGAGGTATGAGTTCCTCGGCTATTTGTCTGACAACAGAGTCCAGCTCTTTTTTTGTCCCACTTTGGACAATCATCGCACACATACACACTTCGGTGTACTGTTATTCCAGTCACCAGTCGCACATTTGTCATAATACGTTGAATTTTTTTTTTTTCTGCACTCTCTCTCGCGATGTTTTCACTTGAAATATCGTCACGGGGTTGGGGAGTGAGTGAAATTTTTTCAAGTCAAATGGACCATGTTAGAAATATGTACTCGTAAAATTTTATACCTTATCGTGTCAAATGAAGCGGATAATTCTGGTGGAATTATTTTCTGTGTCAACTCGGCTGGAGAATATGATGATAATTCATTCCATTCGGAATCATTGGGATTTTTTATTTTTATATTTTTTGTTCAACGAGTCGCGGATGAAAATTTGACAAATAAATTCTTCACATTTCTCAAATCCTTCGGGTAATGCTATTGAAGATGATTTTTTAGAAATTTTATATTGCATTGAAAGAGAAAAATAGTCTCACATTCTGCGTATGTCTCATATTTGATGCTCTCTGTGAGGAGTTTACGCTGATGTTCAGTATTTATCTTTCCATGACTATGGGTGTTTGAGTTTGGTACGTCGATTCTGCAAACACCAAGTGAAAATCAAAACCCACCCAGTCATACTGCAAACTAATTCGATCATCCAGTGGCTAGTCAAATTTCATTTAATTCCCAATATTTACATACCAAGCCCCCATTTTTCCTGATTTTTTCCTTATTATTTAATAATAATGCACTGATAATTATTTTTTATTAAAAAAAATATGGAGTAAATATTCCATGCAATCAATAAATAACTCAATGACTAGTCATCCCACTAAGCATTTCATCACGCAATTATCTTTCATTATCTCTTCGATATTGAAAAAAAAACTGTAACAAATTATCTGTTTTACAAAATATGAAAATTGATCGGGTGAAATTAGTATTTGCATGTGTAGAGAGGAAAAATTCTCTCGATTCTGATGAATCAAAGAGAAGTTGAAGGATTATTAGACGTAAATGGGAGTATAGCTCAGTGGTAGAGCATTCGACTGCAGATCGAGAGGTCCCCGGTTCAAACCCGGGTGCTCCCTTCCCTTTTTTTTTTCTCGGAATCATAATTAATTGAAACGAGACATTATCAACCCTCAATAGCATGTGATCTTTTTACATTTTTTTCATATTGTCGATTCATCTGTTGTGGACTTGAAGGTTTCACGAGCACTTTTTCCCTGTTGGGAAGTGTGAAATGAGGCCGAAGCACAGCATGATATTCTCGTGAAAGGCTTCGCACTTGTAGAGCAATAATTATACAAGTGTATTCCCGGCAGCCTATTATCACGCGAACAATTCGTGGAATTGGACTTATTGGTACTGCAAACAGGATAGATGACAAGTGTTTAAATTGGACTTTGAGAAATTGGAAGGGGAGCTGTAGTAAAGGCAAATATATTTAATTCTTTCGATCATTTGCGGGGCAATGACATTGAATAGCAATTGTAGGAAAAATATTTTCGAATTGGAAGAAATTATGGTTTTCAGTGGAACGCAGAGCAAGAGTTTGCCAATCCGGAGAATAAAAACAATTTCCTCTTCCTCAGCGATAAGTCACAATTGACATGTGATAAGCCCTTAATAATTTAAGCGGTCCTCAAAGTGAGCGCCACATATTCTCCTTCGCCAGCTGTGGCTTACCAGAAAATCGAATAATTCTGGGTGGTGAGTAAGGAGCCCAAGTATATGTGTAAAGAATATAATGCTGAAGGGAGAGAACCGCATACGGGGTGGATCATAGACTAATCCACATCGCTCTGGTGGAGACCACAGAGGATATGAATCACGCAAGTGTCAGCCACCTGCGACACAACCAAACGTTAAAGCCATAAACCCTACTAAATATTCTGTAAATCCGTGAAAATACTTCTATGGGGGATTTTCGTTTGTGTGCTGAAGTCGATCGCGCCAATTGGCCACTCGCCAAATTAAATGTATATCCCCTGTGTTAAGAACTTTCAATTGCCTCAATCCTACGACAACTGGCCTCATACATTTCAACCATTTCACTATGAAATGGGTCACAGACGACTTTCTGCCTTTTCGTGTTGTTCGCATTTATTTGTCTTGTCCAATATTTTTCATCGAATCATTGCTATTTTATTTTTCTTCACATTGGAGATGGTTAACAAGTGTCAGTTCCACTTGCACTTAATTGAACAGTTATTTTTTGGTCCATTTAAAATACTGATTGATTATTAACTTCGAATTGTGGATACTATTTGAATTATTCTCAAAAATAGGATTTTTTTAGGATTAGTTTCAAATGAATTTCTGTGTCACTTTTTCCATTGATTTAAATCAAATGCGTTTCTCCAAGAATTATTTAAAAAACCTGAATAATACACGAAATCGGTAATAAAAAAATTATCAGCAATAATAATAATCACCGAATCGATTTGAAATTCTAATTGACTGTATTTCAACGATGATTTCTCATCCGATATTTATTACGTCGCTAAACTGTCATTTGATAAAGACATTCGATAATTTAAATAAAAACATCCACCCCGCACTCCTCCAATTAGTTTCTAGATCATGATTCAATCATCGCAAATGTTGTGCTCCATTTGATACGGTCCCCCTGATAAAAATAAAAAAATCGTCGATTGGAAATTTAAATAATAATGATGAATGTATAATGATCATAAAGTAGATAGGGTGTATGCGAACTGTAAGTGCCGGGATTGTCAGAGCATTAAAGTCAAAGCCGTCTATTGAAATTTGGATGTAAGAGTCGAGGGTAGGTATAACGATATAGAGCAAGTTTGAATGCCAGATGGTAGATGCCCGGCTAATCCACCATTATCGTTAGCAATGATCGGACTGAGGCGATCATTTCGATTCATGGCGTATGGGGGTTCCAGAAGGGGGAGTTCGACCATCGACCTGACTCTTCCAGAATTCAGAACAACTCATGCGAATAGGATTGAAAATGAGATCTGGCCTTTTGGTTTTAATCAACTCGGAGATACAGATGAGTTGGCAGTCAAATAAATCACCAGTTCTCCAACTATCATCCGAGGTACCCTCACGTATCAATTTTATGTGGAACATTCACTACTAGGAGTATTTTAAATAATAATAACAAAAATATTTTAAATAGTAGTAAAAAGAAAAAAAACGGTTTTTGAAGGAACCAAAAAGCCAGAGTTTCGGTGACTATCGAATTTTGGTTCTCCCAAGTGGTACCATTTATATATACTCTCAGATTTTCATTGATCGGATATTAATTGGTAGGATAAAGTAATTTTGTGTTTACAAAACTTGCTTGAGTAGCAAATAAATACAAAGTAACAGCGTTTTACCAGTCAAGTGAACCCCCTCTGACGGCTGATGATCTAATTTAATTGACACCCTAATAGCCAACAGAACCGTAACTGAAGAGGGATGAAAATATAAGGGTGGTTGAAACGCGGGAGACGCATGGGATGAAGACAATTGAATTTTATAGGGGTTTGCTCGCTTAACCAACTAATTGGTTTGCCTAGATCATTCAATAACGTGTTTTTGCTTATTTATTTGATTATAATGATAATAATTCCAAGCTCGATAGATCCAATTGAAGATGATTGAACAGTAGCTGAAAATAAAATTCATTACGTTGATTACCTCGCATTATTGCAACTGCAATTACTGGAATGCAAATTATAAAATTTTAATCATGCTCCAAAATTAATTTGCAAAAATGCAATTTATGCTCCCGGAGTTATCTATTTTTGATGCAAAATTGATATTATTCGACACTCAGAATGATTGCAAAATAACGAAATTATCCGCAGTATTTTCAATCCATCTCCACCTTCAATTTTTAAATATTCCTCTTGATCAAAAAATTTGCCTTCCCAATCGCGAATAAAATATTTACATTGCCAACTCTCAGGTTAGATTAGTGAACCACAGACGAAGTTCTTCCAACTTGTCGAAACACTCTTATCAAAAGAAACGCCGGAGGAAACTTTTCATTAACTCCTTTTCCCTGCATATCTGAATAGACAATTCGAGTTAAACATGCAACTCTTATAACTCTCTTATTGAAAAACTTTGGTGTCAATAGACCGCAAGAGTGATTTTCTTCATGAACTGATATTAAAAAAGAGAAAAAAAATTGATCCTTCGATCTTGTCAAGGCCCCGGGGGGATTCGAACCCCCGATCTCCTGTTTACTAGACAGGCGCTTTAACCAACTAAGCCACGGCGCCGACCTGCTGTGCCAAAAAAAAACCATCCACATGAGCTATACCACTTCAATCCTCACGATCACATTCGATATTCCCACACAAATAATATTAAACCACCAGAATCGCTTAATTCCACCGAATAATTCCGTCAATTACCCGTTGTCGGTAAAATAGGCAAGCAAATTAAAAAAAATTGTGAAAATGTCCATCTGCCCTTATGGTGATTCACATTTTCTTATTGGAAGTAATTTCTGAAATTTTCAAAAATGCCTCAACATTAATCCGCAAAACTCAAAGAACCAGTCGTTTGATTCCATCACCCTTATGAATTACACCCCCAAAGGGGCGCAGAGAGTGATGTTGCGCGTGCGTGTACCTCGGAGGGTTGGAACAACCCTCCACCATCCCCCGCCCGCACCACCAACCCTGGAAATGGAGATTGTGGAAATGGTTGCTCACAGGGTTGTGCGATTCTGCGAGGTAGGGGATACCTAACTATCTCACTTGCTTGTCGGCATTGCTCTCTGTTTATCAGCGGGACGCTCCTGCCGAGTGCCTCCGTACCCAGTGGATATCCGGCCATAGTTCCCCGGCATCCGCTAATCAAATCGCACCTTCCGTCAGATACACCGTCGAGACACCTGAGAAACGTCACTCGACAAAATTTCAAGTAAAAATAATAAAAACTTAAACTAAACATACCATCGCCGATCGGTAGATGCTGAAAATTCGGGCGAATGTTGGAAATAATTTTTTTACAAATGTGGAGAAATAAAGGAACGTGAAGGAGTAAAAAATAAAGAAGAAAAGGCGAATGGTTCCGATCGTGTATCGACAAGGTCCAAGTCACGGAATCCGGGCTTCTTTCTTACGTGCCGGCGGTCTCCTGGCGCGGCTACGAAAGAGAATCCGCAAAAGGAGCGACGACTAAGTCAATCCCAGTGACTTTTTCATACCAGCTGGCGGGTCCCCAGCTACTCACCTCAAAAATCTTTATCCTCTATCTTTCTTTCCACTCGTGTTTCACCATCAACAAGAACCAACGTATTATACACGAAAAGGACTCCTAAGATTTACATCATCGGTCCATGGCTATGGATTTACATTGTCATCCGTGTAAAAACCAATCGCTAAGGTTTCACTTGCTGTTGAAGAGCTTGAGGAACTCAACGATCGCTCAAATGCATCGTCGACCATCGCCGAGGTGGAGTGCATCCCCCAATCCCCACGTGTCCCAGTGAAGTTATCCAATTTTTCAAAAATAAAACAGCAACGAGCCCTGGAAAATAGCGGAATGGATCAACGAGAGAAGAAAAATTGAAGGACCGTGTGAAGAAGTTCATTGGGCCGTGGCCATAACCAAGGTTATGGTCGAGATAAACTTGTAGCCGAGTGCAGCTCTGATAAGGAAAAACGATCCGTCGGATCTGGGGGACTTTACGTTGTGTGACGAGTGTCCCGCTGGCAGTGGGCCCCTTCGGACGCTGCCCACTCCATACCGTCGGCTATTCCTCATCATCGTCGACTGGCAAATTAATCAAATTCATCAATAAATCTTCGATTCATTCTCACGTGAATATTAAATCTCCAAGTTATTGAAAATAATTACCACGAATGCACGCTGATGGCATGTTTTCCGAGTTCGGGAGGTCTTCAATGATGACAAGGAAAAGCAGGAAAAAATTGTTATTGAGTTGTGCTTAGGAAGTACGAAGAATTTTACGTATTCTGTTTACAAACATTTCAACAGTCAATCAAGTGTAACTCGAGAGTGGGTGAGTGACTCAGTGAAGACGTTGGCTGGACAAAATTTAGCCATTACTCCGAGTTAAACTTTAGTGATTGATCTTCAAGATAGACAATTTTGTCAGTTGACTGTTGACTTTCACATTGTGAAAACAGTGCTTTTTCTTTTCTGAGATTTTGGTGAGGGTTTGTGGGGAAGACATTTGAGTTGGTGACAGTTAGACTGGAGCTGTATTTGCCGTATGCACCACTGCCGGGGGGTGGAGGAATCCTCCCGGCGGTGTCGAGTGGCGGTGGCTGCAGACCGGTGTTACTCGGTGGTGTTGACCTGTCAATGTCAGCAGCGGTACAACCATCACTAAATGCTCCACCAGTCCACAATTCCCTTCATCCATCCACCGCTCTGACATCTCTGCCACAATTGACAAGTGGGTCCGTTATCATGCCCCGTCCACCAGCCACTGGTATACCAACACTTGGAACACCTATTCCAGCAGCTCACCATGATCCTTCGGAAATTGGTGATGCACCTGCCAACCCTGATGTCCTGCTTGCCTTACTAGCGAGGAATAAAAATTTTGAGGGTAAGTTCGTAATTTGTCTTTTTTTATTTTCATTGTCGATTAAATAGTCAGGATATTTTGACTGATGATCATATCCGTCGCATTTTAATAATTGTTCCCTTGATTTTTCATTTTTATCCTTGATAATTATTCCAGTAACAATTAATCTGTAAAAATTAGGCAATCATCCGCTGGAATTTCAGTTTCCGGGAATTCCACACTTGAAAACTTCGGTTTGATGATAAAAATGAAAATTCCCACCGAATTATTAACATTCGAATTTTTACAACCGGAAGCTTGTAATTTTTGAAAAATTCCCGTAATATAAATTCTACTCCAATTTTTTTGATATCGATCTAGAATTTTTACATAAATTCTGAAATAAAAAAAAAAATTCCTGGAATAGTCGTACGTACTGATATTAGTAATCAGGGCTTATCACATCACCGCAGATGTCTGATAAGTAAATAATTTGTAGTAAATGGAGGCATAGCCGAAAAAATGAAAAATCTGCGCACTCCCATTCCGCCTTACAACCGAGCAATTCCATGGGCTATTTTCTGTTTATCCGTGTATATGTGCAACAGATTGCCACTCGTACATAATGCAGGTTACGACTTATACTGCGTTGCATATACTTCCAGCACGTGAGTCCCAACATGGAATAAACTCGTATATTTTGTGTTGAAAAACGTGTCAAAGTGTTCCTCACATATTTCGTTGGGGATTATGACGGGGGAGCTTTTTATACCAGAAAAACATGTGCATTCATGATGGGCTATCAGCTCCAGTGACACGTAGACACATTGCGATAATTGGGTGTACGACCCCTCTTGAAAATCTCAGACATTCACCTGTCCATTTGATTTATTCATTCCCTCAATCTCGGTGAGTGGAGCAAGGTCGAAAACGTCGTTTAATTATGCACAATACGATATAGAACGACAGACCGGAAGACTCGTGATGCCACTGTTCCTATCTACATTATTCAATTAGCAAAGACAAGATGAGAAATTGTTATTACTGTCTCGGTACAATAATTTTTCTCTTTTCGTTTCGCAGTTGGGGAGAAAATTCACGTAAAAAATGGAGTTCCTATTATATTCTACTCTAGAGACTTGTAGATTCTTCATAAAATTTCTGGGAAATTAAAAAAATATTCACGTCAAGTGAAAAATTTAATAACAACTCGCGTATGATCTACTGAAATTTTTAAAAATCCTTTGGGTTTTCATTTATAAATTAACATTAGCAGAAATAATTCCTGAGTTAATTCATGGAATCATTTTGAAAAATTGCCGCTTCCTTCATTGGTTCATTAATTCCAATAAAGTAATATAATACAACAATTCCATTTTAACATTAATATTCAATGCATTCCCCGATCCACATCTTTGTAAAATATAAATCGATGAATTTTTAATGAGAAAATAATGAATTCTCGTCGCAAGAAACACAGGGAATAATTATTATATAATCGAAAACGAATCCCTGAAAAGACGATGGATAAAAAAAATGAGAAGGAAAAATAAATATCCACCAATATGGAATTCATTTGGTCATGGAACGGTGTGGTCCCTAAAAACATTGATATATATCCGTTGGATCGTGGAGAGATCTCCCGCGAAATAGTTTAGGAGCAAAAATATCGATCGGAGCCGATATATAAATGAGAGCATGGAATTTAGTCGTGTGGTGCATTCGGATATAAAAAAAAAGTCTCGCGGTTCACCGCTGTTTGAATTCTCTCCTCTTTTCGTTTGGAATCGAAATAAACCGACATCGAAAGAGAGTCGGCACCATACCAAAGAGAAACGAGGAAAACACTCAAAGGGCGTGGGACAAATGAAATGGACTTTCCGAATAAAATTATCTTGTTTTTCCTTTTATTTTTAGTAAAAGGTGAATGAATAAAAAATGCCCAAGGGATTGACACATTTTCACATTTTCGGAGAAGATGTGGCATCGATTTGCTAAATGAATGGGGGTATTTTTTGTTTTTAAAAAAAAATGTCGTGTACCGTGGACGGATATTTTAATACGATAAGTGCTGGAAAAAGGCTGAGGGCCTAACGTGCTAGCCTCATAGTCCGTGTTGGGGCTGGTTTAATCATGTAATGTGTTTCGCTGGGGGCACGGCCACCCTGCAATCAATACGATATTGCTTCGAGCACGATATATAAATGGGGATGCGTTTAAGACCCAAAACACGAAGCTGAGGTAATGGGGGGAAAAAATATTTTTCGGTATTCGAATTGCGAAAGCCCATGGAAAAATGAGGATTCGCCTTTTCGCACACACTCGGAAAATTATTATTATTATACTACGGAGGAGTCATTTGCTTTTGTGAAATATTTTTTTTCATTAAAAAATGTTATTTCTGTATTTATTATTTAATTATTTCTTTATGATCAAGAATTATATCATTCCTCCAACTTAAGCCGTGAAATGTTGGATATAGATTATTCTCAATATATTCCATAATTTGCATAAGGAAGTCAAGAAATGCAAAAGGCAATTGGAAATGAAAAAAAAATCTAAACCCAAATGAAAAAAATAGGGTCTTCTATTTTTTCGGTTTGTAGCTGATTTAAAGACAGGAATGCAAAAACGTATGAATTTATATAACAAATCAATTCACGACATTGTCTGGACGAACGCCCTTATCAATTTATCACCATGACCTTCGGATTATTCCGATTGCAACTCATGATTTTTGTACACCGAAGAATTCGTACGAAACGGACCTTTCGAGGTGATAAGACTTGACCACGACGCAAAAAGCGTCACGATATACCACAAAGGCCCAAACCTCCAGTGATTAGAGTATCGGAACTGATTTCCCCTCATCGTTGGGTAAGGTTACACGGATGTCCACTGCTTAATCTCCCCACCATTTGTTTATTTATATTTATGTGAAGATAAGGAGAAAAAATTGTGAAGAGATCAGAGGGAAGAAAAAAAAAAAAGTCATGTCACAAATGGTTAGGATCGAGGCAGAAGCTGGGTTTTATGGAAGGAAGGGGGTTGGCTGAGTACGAAGGGTGGCCAAGTGCAGACGAGGGTGGAAAAGAAAATGGCGGATGGGGGATACAAGGCAGAAACGCCCAAGATGAAACTTTCGAGGAAGATATATATATTTTTTTCCCTCTTCGCTTAGAGAAAGGGGATCTCTTTTTGTCAACTTCTACACTAGGGGTTGAAATACCGCCATTTTTATTTCTTTCACGTACAGCCCCTATACTTGACGTTTTCAGATCGTTCTCGAGATATGAGGAGTCGAACTAACGGAAACAGTTATCGATATTTATGGTGGTTTTATTGGAATTAATTGGGTATGGAAGTGATGATCAATTGTTATTTTATTTCGGTGGGGGTTGGTCAAACCAGCTTTCAAGGAAAAGAAAATCCTTTCCTCGTAGACAGAAATTTCTTTAATGGTTTATTTAATGAATGAAGAAAGGCGCTCAAATTTTTCAACACTGGGAAAATTTTTCTTGTTAAATTTCGGTTTATATTTCTTCTTCACGCAATTGCGTTAACCTTCATATGAATCCAATTAGAAAAATTCAATTTTTGCAATAATTACTGTAAAAGTTAAATCAATAATTATGCGCCGTCGAGCCAGAAGTTTTCCGTTGTGATTGAATTCATTCAAAACACGATATCTCAAAGATATCTCCGGAATTCTCCTTTTCATTCAATACGCAATCCTTGAAAATTATTCCGCAAATCAAAACAACGATTGTTATTATCGATTATCGATTATTCTGAGTGGAATTATGAACGTAAGATTTTATTAAAAATATTGAAAACAAAGTAATGGAAAAAATGGAATGACAATTGGTCGATGGAGGAAAATTGAGGAGAGTAAAAATAGGAGATCCGAAAATGGGGTAAGAGTCTTTCCCACTGAATGACTCAAAATGAATGGCCACAAAAATTAAAAAGGTTCTCAGGGGTTGAAATTTTGTGTCCTCAAACAGTGAATCGAGAGAACCTCTCATTGGGCACTCGTGGAAAAAATAACCAAGTGTATCTAGAGGGAGACGCAGCACGCGTCTAACTGCGGGAATATCACATTACCACAGCAGGATAACCCCTGGGTATTATCGTATTATCTAAACTGTTTTTTATTATTTTTCCGTGCGAAGAATTTTCACAGTGTCAACTTCCTGTTGTACCTCATTTACCCCGATCGATCAAATTTTTTTTCCGTCCATCACCCGAATTCGCGTTGTTTACGCTTCTTCCAGATCGTGAGTACATAATATCCGTGAGAGTAATATATACACTGTTGAAATTTTTTTGAAATTTCAGTCACAAAATCGTGTGAATTCTCATTTGAATGAGTTTGAATTAAATTTGCATCAAAAACTGTCACTAAATTTTTTATTTCTTCTTAAAACTACAAATTTGGAAATTAGTGTAAGTTTTTTCGTTCGCCATGATGATTTTTTTTTATTTTGAGCTTTTTTACTTGGAATTTTACATAGAATTTAATACGATTTTCAGGAATGGGGAGAAAAAGGGAATTCTTGAGGGGGAGAGGGTGTGTAAAAAAGGGTTCTTCTTCTCTTGCTTGATGTATCATGTATAAAAATAAATATTTTGAATTTGGATGTTTTTTTTTAAAGAGTTAGAAAATCCGAGCGACTACACCGTCTTGAGAAATCGGTTTCTTCGATAAGATTAAGAGGCCTCAAGTGCTTCTTTAAACGTCTGAAGCGTCCAAAGTTGAGAAATAATTTTGATAAAAGTCGAAGGGAAGAGGGGGAGGGATAAACCCCTGAGTTTCAGAAAATCAACTTATGACGACCGATTAGCAGTCGATGAATGCATCGACTTTGATTTTCTGAGAAGAAATACGTGATGAAACAGAAAGAGTGACGGATAAAGGAAGAATGATTCTTGTCTGACGTGTGGGGTTCAAGGTAGCATTGACGTTTGACAGTAGATAAAAGACTGAATTTTTTTTTTCTCTCGTTGTCGATCTGGTTATGTCTGTGCAATTTGAAAAAATCGAGTTAGTTATTATCTATCGAAACGGAGAAATCGGCCTCGAGGAAAGTCCACCAGCGAACAAGAATTACTCGGAGTTTCTGTTGTATTTTGGTTTACAATTATCAGTCTTACTGTAACTGAAATTAAATAGGGGAGAACAACTGCGATTAAATTTCTGAAGCCGAAAGAGAAAACGAGACATTGACGTCAAAAAGTATTCCTAATTAATTGCTTCCCGGAGAATTAATAGTTAATCAATTTTGACCAGTGGATGTGGAGAAATTCGTTGGAATTATTAATTAAGAAATTTTTTTCACTGATATTAAATTTTCGCGCAAATCTCCAGAAATTTCGCTTGAGCCGTCCCATTATTTTTATTCAAATATTTATTAATCATTCATTGGTATTACAATAATGTTCGCTCTGCTGGTACTATTTCTTGAGAAAGGTATGATATAGTGGCAATACTATTGTCTGATTCGGCAAAATTCCGCGTTGAGGGAATAAATAGAGAATCAATGGAAAATGAACAACATTTATTTACATTCGTTCATTCAGTTTCTCATTCAACTTAATATCCTCATCCGAAAAATAAAACTGTGGGAGAATTCAGAGATTCTATGATCGAAAAGAAAAATAAGAAACATTCAATAAGGAAATAATAGAACTAGTGTACGAATCCGTAGGAAATGGCCATGACGCGAATTATCAGACATCTGGGGGCTTGAAGACGAGATATTTTGATTACTCTTCATAAACGAAATGATTACATCATGTAATAATAACTATAATTAATCGGTTTGGGGTGTACTCATAATTATCATAGATTATCGGCTTCCAGAGATATACCACGATAATAGCTGACGGGGAAACAAATATCGACGGAATATTTTTTTCACTTTAAATTCAATTTCAAACGTTAATTAATTAAAAAAAAAAAATGATTCTATTATTATTTTTTTCTGTCGGAATATTAATCGACTTTTAATTCGATATCCACTTTTATTTTTGGTGTTCCTCAAAATTCTTTTTTTTTCTTTAAACAGTTTAAAATGTAATGTATAATTTAAATGTTGGAATTAAATTTTTTATTCCCATTCGTTCTAGGCTTTACCGAAAAATGAAAAAAGTAAACCGCGACGTATTAAATGAAGCCATCGATATAAGCGCTTATCAATTGATTATTGCAATTGCGTCAGCTGATTACAATGTTTTATGACATGTCCGCATCGGAGTCCGTTTTAGATATAATCTGTGTATATTCCAGCGGTTTCTTAAATAATCCATTGATTGTTTAGGATTTATTACTTGGTCAGCATAATTCAGGCATTCAAGTACTCAACTGACAATACCGAATGTCATCCTACAATTCAATGTAATCGAACATAATGATCGGTACTGCGATTTTGTTGCTATTATTATATAATCGAAAATGAAATTAATTTATGAAATATTCATGTCACTAAAAAATTCAGTTAATTGAACTCAATCTGGGTTCATTGTAAAAACAAAATATTACGATTCCTATTCAGTAAAACGAGGGAATATCCAGTAAAAAGTACGAATCACCCGGACATAAATACGCAGCAGTTGCGGACTTTTTATGATGCGTTCCGTAATGTTTATTGCACCTTCTGGCTTGCGAATTACAGAACTTTTACGTAATTCTCATTGAATTTTTTTTATAAGTGTTTCAACATTTGACAGGACAATTTCAATTTCGATAGATCTGAAGGGATTTTCCTCCGAATTCAAATCCCCTAAAAAATTAATTATAAAATAATTGAAAATTAAAACCAATATGCATACTATTATTACATATTATTATTATGTACTCGTTACAGTGCTGTATATCAGCGGCAAAAAAACATGCTCGAGAAAACGTTGCACTGAATTTTTGAAAAGGGGATTCCTCTCGTGTCCATTCTGTATACTTCGCAAAAATATAATTGATTGCTGAATGAAGCATGCGTTACGGGACAAGTTGTACGATGCAAGTCGTACGGTAATCCAAAACGTAAAAACACAAGCGGTCGATTCACGTGAGAACTGGCCGTAGGGTGAAACGCATATTCCGCGACATACAGAGTGAATGAGAGTTGGTGAGGGTGAGTTGGTTGTTTTGCTAGGGGATGCCTGATCCGTCTAGCCACCAACTGGAAAATGGAATGGGGCGTGTTTTTCAACTCGAAACTATATCGAAACACGTCTACCACTTCACTTTGACGTGCACGTGTGGTCATACGTACGGCTCCTGTTTACGTAACATAATCATGTATAGCGCATAATCAGTATATACCACAGTTCAATAGTTTGTGGATTGTGGAGAGGTGGGCCCCGAGGTTGCCTAAAGCAAAAGCCACATTGTTACTTGTAACTGAACGCGTTTGCAGATGGATTAAGTGACTCTTGATGGGAACTAAACGCAGTTTAGTCTATCGTGATTTTAGTCGCTCTTGTTTGCATTGCATGCGTCAATATCATTTCATTCTCACGTTTTTTAACGTACGGTATTTGATCTGTGGAATTTTTTTATTCACCCCTTTTTATCGCCCGCCATTTTGCCGGGCTTTTTGTCTTAAAAAAAAACATATCAATATACTGAATTTTACCGATTCTTATTAATTATTGTCATTAGTTTTATTCACCGGAGATTCCATGACGGAAAGTAATTTCAAAAAATTTTTATTCGTCTTATATACTCCGTATTTATTCTGCGAATTCATCTGGTAACCAAAAAAAAAATCAATCTACACATTTGCGTATAGCTCAGCTTTTTCTTTAATAACACTCCAAATCTTTCACGTTTTATTTATTTATTTTTTTGTTTTAGAACAGAAATGTGAGACACACTCTCCTCTCCAGAGTAAACGTGAGTTCTTTTTTTGTTTTTATTTATTTCTATGTTATTGCGATACAATTTTTTATTTATTTTTCACTTCCAACCGATCGATGAGTGAATTTTGATTGAAACTATCTGGCTGGGTGGTAGAAAAAATCGAGTGGCACTTGTGAGAGTCCGAAATGACTTTCAGATCTTTAATACCCATATGTCTAGTCGCCAAGGACTTACCTATCCTGCAAAGGCTGTCCTGTGCCAGTTGGTCACGTATCTCTTGAGCCAAAAGCCTTTGTACGATAGCCCATTACGAGTATTATACTTTTTGAGCTGTTTATTGTAGCATCTACTTTCGATGGTACTTTACACACCATGCGGGTCATTTCACTTTCATCCTGCTAAAGTCTTTTAAAGAAACAACTCTATCTGATACAATCGCATATTCCATTTGCATTAAGGTCGAAGGAATTAATCACTAGGAAAAGCATCACGTGATATTTAAGTGGAAAAATCGTTATGGAGCAGACGGGGATTTTTTTGTACTCTCGCAATTCAATGAATAGCGTTGATTGTGTTGATTACAAAATTACTTCTACCCAAAAATTTTAGATACAATAACTACTGTCAAATAATTCAACATTCTCCCTAAAATTCGGGATGAAGCTGAAGTGTTCATGTATTCCCTTTTAGAAAAAATACAATAGAGAGGCAAATGAAGGTTTAATATACGATCTATAAACCATTCTCCCCCACCTGCTACTTATTAATTTTTATCTAAAAATTACTGTCAATTTTAATCACAAAGTCGTCGGAATTTTCCACTATATGAGTGAATTAATTTCAATTAAACTCAGTAGATTTATATTGATTATTCAAGAACGTATTTTTAAACTTGGAATTTCAAATGCAATTTTCCAACATTGCAGTAGTGATTTCTACATGAAATTCCATGTGCAATAACTCTTGCCAAATAATTGGAAAAAATCGCCCTAGAGGGAGAATGAACAGCTCTCATAAATTCAATCCCTGACCAAAAAATACAATAGAGATTCAAATGAAGCTTTAATATATGTTCTTTTAACAAGATTTGAAGAATAAACGAAAAATTCACTGGTCCACCCGATAGTTACAAATGTCCATAAACCATCAGTGGAATATGGGGTCACATGGCGCTAAAAGGGACTTGGGGGGGCACCAGTTGTTCTGGCACGCTCTGACACGTGCCCCAGCACGTGGGGTACTGATGAGTGGATTGTTCATTCCAGCGGCTTTTTCGTCTTCACTTACAGTTGCATACAAGACCTGTGGGCGTGTTGTATACCCCACGAAGTACCCACGATTTGTCAGCTTAGCACGATCCACTCCGCACGCCCCCAAAAATAATAATTCAAATGGAATTTGCAATGAAATCTGCAGAAATAATGAGAAAATAATTTATTTGTCAAGTTGATTTACCAACTGAATAATTTATATGACATTGGCATGTCTTATCGAGATATTTATACGCCGATTTACTTCTGGAAAGTTAATGCATAATATTTTTATCATTGCAACAAATTATTTTGGGACTCCTAATCCTAGAGTACTGGATGCAAGTACTTTAAATAATGATTAATAAAAATAAACTCATCGGGGTAATTACGATTGATGACATAATTTTATATTTTCTGTATGATTTGATCTGGAAAAAATTGAGTCGTACGATTATTGATCCTGTTGGAATATTGACAAGTGAATTGTTGGGATATTTTAAAAAATTATGTGTGGTCGTAGCCACAAGAGCTTACTCCGCAAAATCGATAGCTCTCCACTCTCTCACTGTCCACAACTCCATTAAGATAATTACAATTGCCATCTCTCTCACTTGCCTCCTCCCTTTCCATTTATATATTTTTTCTTTACTTTCTCTCTAGCCGACGATTCATTCCACTTTATCTCACCCGTTATGATTCGGCTTGTCCAAGCATTTCTGGTCAATGGTTTTTCTCCAAGCTGTGATATAATTCATCCAGCTATGTCCTCTTCGTATCACCACCAATTGTGGGTTTGTTTGACCATGAAGAATTGAGAGCTCTTGATTTATTTATTGTACCCTTTTCTCTCGCTCTTTCTTTTATCTTGGAGAGCTATCTGGAGTTTGTCTACATGAATTTTTATTCAGTTCTCTTTGGTGATGCTGCATGGATGATGATGATGCATGGATGACCTTGATACATTCAGGTTTTCTGTTGGGTGTTGTCCAGGTGACCTCTCGGATACCTATTTTGTTGGAAAATAGTGGTCGGGTGAATAGTGACAATAGCCAACGGCCACTCCTGGGTCTTCATAAAGTCAACATGGGATTTATGGTAACACGTCAATGACTTTACGGTTGCATCCCCTGACCCAGTTCTCATATGCTTGTGGATCTAATGGCGTGTCGGAATTTATGACGCTGTGGATTTAATTTGGGGGCCTCTACTCACTTTTTTTTTTCAATTTTAATCCACACTTTGTTGTTGAAGACCGTCATTTAATGTCACTAGCATTTCACTATCAAAAATGTGTCCGATAAATAAAATTGAGGAAACGAAAATTAATGAAAATGATTTTTTTTTAGTTAGAATTAAAAAAATTAATATAAAATAAATATAATGCCGGTTTCTTGAATGAAGTACACAACACGCCCAAACTTAAACAGAATAAAACAAAAATTTGTTTCTCATGAATCTGTTGGAGAAGAAAAGAGTGGAGACGCCCATATCTCGGTTGAATGGCGAGATGAAGAGGAAAGGACACGAATTTACTGCACTATTGAACAAACTAGTGACATCCGGTGGACACGAGTCGCCACGCGACCATCTACCACTAAAAGATTATGTTGTATTGTTGCTATAATCGGAATGAATTTTAATCTGGAATATTGAATCGATATAAACACGCAATTACGTGCTGGAATAACAAAAATAGGAGAAGAGAAATTTTTCGATTCATGTCCCATTGGGAATTTTCATTTGCTTTTTTGATTTTTCTATTTGATCAGGTGCTGGATATTAATAAAACCATGACGGACTGATTAATCCTGGCAAAATGGGACAATGGACTCACATCATCTTTATTACAATGGCCGCAACTGTGGGACTTCCCGGTACAAATTTCCTTTCAATGTATCATCCCCATGATTCTTCGATGATAAGCCATGGATGCATGCGTAGTTTTTTGTTCGTATCAATGGTTCCTATCAATAGAGAATTTCATAGGCTTCTGGTTTATCGTGAATGATGCTAATGGAGAGTAGATATATGTTGTGACGTTGCATCTTCGCTTGAAAAAAATATGATGCACAAAAAAAAAGACTTGGGTTTAAAAAAAAAATTTTAAACACTTCTATTTATTCATTGTAAATGATGGAATCCCGCGGAAATCCATTTTTCATCGATATCTCAGTGGAAATAAATTATTCTATCCGGTAATAATATAATAACATAATAATCCAATATTATGAGAACTCCATGAGAGAAATGCGAGAAAAAAATATTTAATAAAAAAAATATTTAAAAATGACGTACCTATTCTGTAATTCCGCGGCGAAAAAATTATTTCGAAAAATTTTGCGGAATCGTTAAAGAATTATTTCAGAGGCTCAGTATTTTTGGTTGAAATTTTATTGACTGAATGTATTCGTTGGGTACTTTTATTTGATGAAGACTACGTTGAATATATTATTATATAATAAATATTAAATATTTTTTTTCGCATTAATGCTTCCGTTTAATTATAGGCCGGCAAAACGGGCGCGAAACACTAGTTGTTTATAATTTGTAATAGTTCTTGATAATAGTTGTAATAGTTCTTGAGGGAGAGTATGAGATGTAAAAAAAAAGATTTTTTGTAAAAAAGTTAAATAGTCAGAAATCTGGGCAGAACAGGAAAACATATCGGGGCCTAATAGCCCTCATTGGCACCCCTTTTCCGTGACAAGCTTCAACATGCGCATTCTTTTCCCCTCAACCCCTGTTTTCATTTCAATTTCTAACCCTCGAGGGCTCCCCTACTGTGGCCAGATGGCGAACGACGACTGTCTACCGGTATATACACGTATATACTATCATATACCGTATATCCAGCGGTCTTGTATAGATGACTGGTGCCGTGAGGGATTCGAATGATCGAGCATGTCAATGTTTGGTTAGGCTCATGCTCGCCCTATGCGGATAACGTGGTTAACGAATCAAGTTTATAGGTACTACGGATTTTTCGAGGTCTACCATCTCCAGGACACCTCATTCACCCCATCCGGCCCTTCCACCCCTTCCACCCCATCCACCTCATCCACCAACATTCCACCACTTGAGACGACAGATTCGCACATCGTGATACGAAAAATTCGCGAATTCGGAATTTTTCAAAAGTTGACAATATTTTATTTCATTGTCATGTCCCTCAGGATCTCCGGGGATTTCACTTGGTACACAAACAGCCTTCAAGTGTTTAAATTGAGAGTTAAATAATAAGATCAAACAGCAGTGGAAAGTAAGGATAAATACATGGTACAAAGGGGTTGGTTGGAGGATAAATAAAATTCATATCTCGGTCTCGGGAGATTTGCGGAGAGCCGAATATATTTTTTTTCCACACGAAACGTTTGTCCTTTCAAATTAATTGATTATTTTATTGATTTTTAGGGACAATATGATGAATTATTTATGTTTTTTGTGTTTAAATATTATAATTTCATTTTGCGCTCGATTTCGCATATATATCTGCTTCGAAAATCTGTTTCGCAATGGCTTTTCGTTTCGCAAAATTTCGATTTCTGGATTAGATAAATGTAGATAGTATTTTCACTTGGAGACAACCACTGGTAAATTCTGATTTAAATATTGCAATCGATGGTTGTTGTTATTCAGGGCACTAATTACAGTGAGGCGTTGGGGGGCCTTATGGCATTCCGTGGTAGGTGAAAAGTGTGAGTGAAGTATGAGTGAAGTATGAGTACTTTCAGCTGACCGTGAAGGCTCAACAAACGGGGAGCGCAATATCCCGGAACACCC